TAACCCAAAATGTCTCTAAAAATTTTTCCAAAACAATCAATTAACAAAAATTTATAAAAATAAAATTATTTTCCAAATAATAATTAAAATAATAATAATAATAATAATATCTCAAAAATGTGTTTTATGGGATATTGTTTTTTTTTTATTTGAAAAATATATATGTTGGTTTCAAGAACTGGTTGGAAAAAAAATTGACTAATTGAAGGGATTATGTTTTGTTCCATACCTCAAAGAGATACAGAAACTTATTTTCTCAATAAATATCCTGCCCACTTTTTATATTAATTTTTTTATCTATTTTTTTTTTTATTGTGGAAAGATTCATGAATGTCATTTCTAACCTTTTTTTTAGATAAGACCCAAGGAAAGAAATGTGTAAATGCTATTAAATCAAAAATTATAATAATAATAATAATAATAATAATATATAATAATATATATATATATATATTTATCAGGTCATCCCATAAGTTCTGTCCGAATTTTGAATAAAGAAAACAAGTGACCAAATGTTACATTTAATTTCAGATTCAATCAACAATGTAGTTTCCCTGATTATCTATGACTTCCTTCCATCTATTAACAAGCTTACTATTCCCATTACTGTAAAATTCTTTTGGCTTTGATTCGAAGAACTCACAAATGTCAGTTTTAACCTCTTCCTGTGTTACAAAAGCTGTTTCTTCCAAATGATTCTGTAAGCTACGAAACAAATGATAGTCTGAAGGAGCAAGATCGGGAGAATAAGGTGGATGAGGAATTTTCTCCAAACCAAGTTCTTCGATCATTTGTGACGTGATTCTTGCTGTGTCGGGTCGCGCAATGTCCTGATGGATCATCACCCCTTTTCGATTCACTAGAGCAGGTCTTTTTTCCTCAAAGCTTGGTTCAAACGCTCTAATTATTGACAGCATATCTCAGCATTAATTGTTGCATTAGGTGGTAAGAATTCAAAGTTGATTATTCTTTGGCGATCCCACCAGATTGAAGGAAGGACCTTTTGCACATTAAGTTCCCTTTTCGGCTGTGTTTGGGGTTCTCCCCTTTTACCAAGCCACGGTCTACGACGCTTAACATTTCGATAAAAGCTCCATATGTCGTTGCCAGTCACAAGTCTATCCAAAAAAAGATGAAACAAGTTGGCGAGAATGGAGAGAAGAGCAGATGACAACTCGGGATTTTAGGTTGTTTTCAGACAATTCATGAGACACCCATTTTCCAAGTTTAGGAACTTTCACAAGTTGTTGAAGAAGACGAGTAACAGTTGTATGGTTTGAACTGAAAGCCACTGCCAATTCCTCAACTGATAAAGCATGATTTTCTTCAAGGGCTGCTTCAAGAAGCTTTTCATCAAACTCAGGTGGACGTCCAGTTCGATCTTCATCTTCAAGGATGAAATCTCCACCTCTGAATTTTGCAAACCATCTTCTGCAAGTTCTTTCATTCATACATTCCTCTCCATAAATTGAGTGAATGTTTTCTTTCTTAACCCATAAAGCATTATGTGCCTCAAAAGATTCTTGGATACTTCCATGTTAGCAGGGTTTTAATCAAACAAAATTTAATTTTATTGTTCTTTGAAATAAAATTTGATCAGTTTAAATGCATCTAAACATAAAAATAATGTTCAGCTCCATTAGAAATTATAAAATACTCTTTAAATTTCGTTCATTTTAACAAAAAGTTAAAATTCGGACAGAACTTATGGGATGACATCTCGGAGCCGATAAGTTCTTTTTTTCGCTTCTGGTTTTAGACAATTCTTTTCTTTTAGGCTGGATAAGAATTTTTTCTTTTTTTTTTTTTGTATCTTGACAAGTTGAGATCTTGGATCAAAATACTGAGCTCTTTTCGCCAGAAATGATCAGGTATGCAAAGGTCGTATTCACTTTTAATGCTTCTACCTGTGGCTTATTCTAAGTCCCTCTTTTTTTTTTTTTTTTTATAAACGCGAGAATGAATGTTAAAAGAAATTAAACACTGCTATAACCTGGTATGAGAACGTTTTTGCTTTATCTCACAACTCACATCTTTTTTCTTTTCTTTTCTTTTTTTATTGATATATTTACTATAGAGATGTCTCTCCTGTTTTCGTGATAACAGAAATAAGGAAGAGATCTTCGAAGGAAATTAATGAAATAGGTGGTTTACTACACAAATTTACAATTAACAGTTTAACTAATGCTAACCCTCCTCAACTCCGTTTATTTAAATAAACGGACGATTGCATTCATTTATGTCCTGTATAACATATACTTTCATGAAATCAATTACCTTAATTTCGCATTTCTCCACACACAATATTTAAAACCATCTTCTATACATATTTTAAGTTCGTAAACTCTTATTACAGCTGTCCTGTTGTCGGGACGTAAAATAAGCAGGTTGAATCCGCTGGAGGGGACCAAGGAACCCTCAGCAAAGGGGTGTGAGACCATGTATTCGGTCTCAAGTATAATTCTTTACCCATAAATTCAAATATGAATCCGAAGATATTTTTCTATATCCTGAAGTATAAATAAATCCATTTATTGCCGTATATATTCGTGTACAAATCCGTCACAATCTGTTCTCTAAACTCATATATAAATCAGAACTATATTCATCTACTGAATAAGTATTTACTCTCTCTGCCCACTAAGACGAGTTGAGACACAAAGTCTGTTTTAAGGTGCGGATCCTGGAGCGTATCTATATCCTCAATTATAAACCCGACTAATTTTACCTATAGACTAATGTACAGAAGCAATACTTATATGCCTACAGACACAAGTATAAATACAGCCAATAATTACCTCAGGACATTACCTGGGTGGGATTTTATGGCCTTTTTTTATATTCATTATACCAAAATATCGAAAAAATCTGACATTAAATTAAAGCCTACAAAATCATATCACCGGTGTTCTTCGACACATTGGCCAAGTGGATGCAGGAGATAACCCAAGTCACGGGATCTAACTATCGCCTTTATCCTCAAGGACACATGGCACAGGGGATAAAGGTATTGATTAGATCAAATGACTAAACCCAAAGAGTTGTGAGTTCAATACAAGTCTACAGCAGTGGTGAACCAACATCGTGGAGAGTTGAGTTAAAGGCAAATGAGACATCCGAAAGAGGCATGACATGTGGAACTAGAACAATCAACCCGAGTGTACGAAATAAATGGTTCGAGTCGAAATTCCATTCAGCCAAAGAAGGCCGGAGCGTACAACGGCCGAAACGTTGTGAATATGCCAATGAAATGTGGATAACAGTCCGAATAATGTAAACAATGTAACTAATCCTTATAAATCATCTCAATTACATATATATATATATATATATATATATATATATATATAGTTTTAATGTATGCTAAATGTATATGCAAAATTGTTCAGCATCACAGATAGAAGGTATGTAAATATAAGATAGAGCACTGAGGTCAACATCAAGTAGAGACGTCCTTATTCATGGTTGAACGCAATCTTCAGGCCATGTTATTTAGATATGTTGGTCACGAGTGCATTATATTAATAAGGTGTACTGAGTTATCGTAACGCTTATATTTCATATTATTTTATAGCATGTAAAGTAGAAATAATTGTGGATCCGAATGCAGTCATTTTTATTGATTCTATAGTGTTGTTAAAATTTTAATCATTATTCATTATTTAATTATTTGCTATTGAGTTTTACTATTATATTTACTTGTGGGCGTTCATAGTTTGTTAATTTGTTAATTTATTTATTTATTTATTCTGATGTTATTTTTTTATATTTTTTCGGATATTGTTTAGCTAACTTTTTTTTTGGCTTTGTCTAAAGTATGTTATTATCTGCGATGCACGTAGTTTATATATTAGCACTTATCATAGTGGTATTACACTAGACATTCGCTTTTAGTTTTCAATTTTTAAGTAACGTAGTAATTCTTTCTCGTGTCTATATTTTGAAATAACTTTATATATTAATTTGTGTTAGTCTGGAAAAGGATTATAGGTATTTACTCCTACAGTTTACAGATTTTAGCTGTAGAATGATGTTCATTTCCTGATTTTTGTTATGATTTTTAAAAATTTCCCATATATGTTTAGAAAGCATCGATTTCTGTTTATTTATTAAAAATATTATATCAAGAATAATTGTTTTCATAATTTCTCTTTTTTTTGGTGCCATGCAGTTAATCCTATGTACATTTTCTTCATTGTCAGCTGATTTTTACCGTGATTTGATATATTACATTCTTTAGCAAGCAATTACCAATTAAGTGTCATTCGTTTGTTTGTTATAGGCCGATTTTGTTTGTGCAGGTGGTTTGATGGTTATTTTTTTTTTGTCATGCTTTTCAAAATTTGTGCCCTGTTTGCTGTGCAACTGTATTTGATGTTTACCTTGTTTCTGTTGAATATATTGTGAAAAATTTTGCTAGATTTTTTTGGGGTTTTTAAATTTTAAGTTTAATTGATATTTTTTTTTACGTTTGATTTTTTTGTTTTGTAGCATATTGTCTTTTCAGATAGATAGAAACAGACAGATAGATAAATAGACATTTGAAAATTATAAATATATATATATATATATATATATATATATATAAATATATATATATATATATATATATATATATATATATATAACTATTTTCATGAATCATACTTCAATGAACTCTCCTCCTTGTATTCAGACAAATATGCTTTTTAATTTCCTTTAAGATTATTAATGAAATGATTTCCATCGTGTCCGATTCTTGAAATATTTGAATGTAACCGAAAGATCCATTCTAATAGTTTTTTTCTCTCTCTCGCTTCTTGCCTGTGGAAATCTTTCCAAGCTTTTTGCTTCCCTGTCAGCTACCATCTTCAAAAATTTAAATGCAACATCAATTGCTACCGTCTGCTTTTCTGAATCATGAGTCCCTTCTACTCACTGATGTTTTCACATTTTATTTCCCACTCAGTAACCTCTTGCGTACTAGTGGCATTATCGGCTTGCTAAGGGTGAAATGACTTTTAAAAAAATACTTGGGGTTTGTCATGGGCAGGAACATAAGGAGATAGATCTCGACATAATGAGATAGATAGATATGAACAGACTGAGATAGATAGATAAATTAGATAAAAAACAGATAGATAATATATGAACATATATGATGAGATAATAGATAAAATAGATAGATAGATAGATAGATAATAGATAGATAGAATAGATAGATAGATAGATTCAAATATGAATAACTGAGATAGATAGATAGATAGATGTGAATAGACTGTGATAGATAGCTCGCTAACTAGCTAGATAGATATATGTGAATAGACTGAGATAGGTAAATAGGTAAATAGATGGATTGATGGATAGACACATAGATATGAATAGACTGAGATAGATAGACAGATAGATAGATAGATAGATAGATAATGAACAGACTGAGATAGATAAATAGATAGATATGAACAGATTGAGATAGATAGATAGATATGAAAAGACTGACATAGATAAATAGATAGACGAATTGATGGATAGATAGATATGAACAGACTGAGATAGATAGATAGATAGATATGAACAGACTGAGATAGATAAATATTTAGATATGAACAGACTGAGATAGATAGATAGATAGATAGATAGATAGATAGATATGCAAAGACTGAGATAGATAAATAAATAGATAGACGAATTGATGGATAGATAGTTATGAACAGTCTCAGATAGATAGATAGATAGATAGATAGATAGATAGATAACTGAGACACTTCGGAGAAATCATCTTAGACCAGAAATCTGTGGTATATTCAGCGGTTTATCTTGCCCCGAATGAAACGATCAATCTCTTAAGTGTATGCATCTGAATATATTTTGCTATGCCAACAAAAAAAAATCAAAACGAAAAAACAAAAAAACACACAAATATATTTAAACTTTGTTTATTTCACTTCTGTTGGCCTTGTCTTATTTTTAATATTCACACACCTACACACTCTCAGCTGACCCAGTATACAACGACGTTGGTTGTAATCTGATGGACATTTTTTTCCCTCTCTCTCTCAAAATAATCTTCTTAAAGGAATTACACATAATCTTCAAATTTTGAATATCCGGAATTTCCTCAATATTTTTCTCGGCGAATTTATTTAAGCAGGTTGGTGTATATCGTTGTTAGATTTTTGTCTGTTAAACGGCTCATTCTTCTCACTGTCAAGGTCTTAACGTTGTTTTGTATCGCAATGGTAATATTTTCCCTTTCCTTATCAGTAAACATTCAGCATTTGTCGACTGAGTAGCTATCATCTCGGACAGAATTTATAAAATCTTTCTCTTCAAACAATGTTTCAGGAAAATAGGTTTTACAAATCACATGACTCTTGCCATGCTTCCCAGTATTGTTAGGCGTTTCCTTTCAAAGCTTCTGTTTCAAGTCGTGAGGAGCGTCAACATTTATGTAATAGTATTTTTTCTTCAATTTGCAAGCGCTATCGATTTTTAGTTGTTGCTGTTGTTGAAAGTCCTCCATTTATGAGATTTATCTTATTTGGTACAGTATTTTGCGATTGGTTTTTTAGCGCCTGTTCAGAACAACTAGATGCAACCGTCCGTTCTATAATAATTGTTGCGCCTGTGGAAATCCATTTCGATTGCTTGTTTCGATGTCACTTACAATCTTCAAATATTTAAATCCAACGCCACTCGTAACATTCTGTCTTTCTATGCCAGTGCTTTTATTGTCCTTTCTTCTCAAGTGTGCACCCTAACGTCTTCTCATACTTTTTCACTCCAAGTTATCTCTTGCGTCATAGGGGCATTATCGCCTCTAAGTTACCCCTTGCGTCTTAGGGGCATTATCGCCTTCAAAATTATCAAATTTTAAATCTTGGGGGCATTATTAAACTCTTTATCCCCTTCTCATAGGGGCATTATCGCCTCCAAGTTATCCCTTTGCCTTTTAGGGGCATTAACGCCTCCAAGTTACCCCTTCGTCTTGAATTCATTATCGTCTCCAACCTTATTTTTTTCGTCTTATCATTTATCGCCTCTGAAGTTACTCCTTTGCGTCTTGGGGAATTATCTCCTCAAAATTACACCTTGCGTCTTGGGGAGATTATCGCCTCCAAAGATCCCTTGCGTCTTTTATTTATTATCCCCCCAATTTACCTTGCAATTTGGGGCCATTATTATCCTCCTTTATTTCCCTTGCGTCTTATAAAATTATCGCCTCAAGTTATCCCTTTGCCTTTAGTTTTGAATCAGTTCTATTTGATCGCCTCCAAGTTACCCCTTGCGTCTTGGGGGCATTATCGCCTCCAAGTTATCCCTTGCGTCTTGGCGGCATTATCGCCTCTAAGTTACCTCTTGCGTCTTGGGGGCATTATCGCCTCCATGTTACCCCTTGCGTTTTAGGGTCATTATCTTTTTGAGGGTAAAATGATTAAAATATATTCTCTTTCTAGTATTGATAGAGACTTCCTTCCTTCATTATTTTTTTTTTTTACTATCGAACGTCAGCCTTATGATTATGTCATTATTCCCTTTACGAGCTTCATGGCTATCCAATTCACTCGCTGTTGTTTTTGAAAGTCCGCCCGTGATATGGTTTCTGTTATGACGGTGATGTACTTTGTGATTTTGTAGCGTCGGTTCACCAGATTCGAGGCAGGATGGCCCAATTGCTGATACTGAATATAGGCTTAAAAAATTTGTGTATTTTTAACCATCAATCTGAGAACTCCTTTGCATACAGCCAACACTGTATATATTTCTGATACTGTTTGGCGCTATTTATAGTATCCATACAAAAGTCTCCATCTGGCGAGACTATTTAAAAAGGAAACTAGGTTTAGGTTAGGGTTTGGCTTTTGTAGCTGTTTACGGTGTTGGGAGACGCTACAGGTAATACAACCTATTCTGTGTTCAATAGTGTTACCTCCTATAATAAATTTGTTTTAACTGATCTATACATCAAGCTATTTGAAGGATTTGTTATTTACTGATTACACATCTTAATTTTTATGAAAGATTCACGCTACGTCCCATCATTGCTTCATTCCAACTGCAAACCATATTAAATTCCACTTATAAAATGCATTTTATATTTTTCCATTGTAACAACTCTTCTGAATTGCTATGTAATATTAATCATACAAGTTAACAGAGTGTTGTAACCTATGGAAGGTTACTGAATAGAATAATCAAACGAAGGTTGGTAATGCACGATAATACTTAGGACAAGAACAGCACATATAAGATTCGCCAGCGGCGTGTAGAAGTAGTAGTCAGCTGCTAGAAGTGAGTCAAGTGAATTCCACAATGAATCTCCGACTGCAGGATATCTACCAACCGCCCCACGCTGTCAGATGTGGAACAAGGCCGAATTTATTGTTTATATGCTCCGAGCCCGTGGGCTCGGCAAAAATTTCCCGTAGACCCCATATAAAACGGGGTCGGGTAGCTGATTCCTGAGATGAGACGAGACTCTGCCCTTCGACAGATTCTCGTCTGGGGATCCACTCTGCCCGGAGGCAGAGAGTTTGACCAGCACAGCTGGAGATGAATCTCCAATTGCAGACCAACATACAGTATTCACCATTTATATAATATTCACTATTGTCCATATGTTACAACACGGAGGAAACTTATTAATTTTATAAAAGGACATACCATAATATTGTCCGTAATATTTTTTAAAAAAATCAAAACGCAATTTAATAAAAAGCAATTTACGTAAACGGTGTATGGAAAGTGCATTAAACTCTAAATCACGCGAAGTAAATTTTCAGATTCTTACTGAATTTAACATTTCTTTACATATCTTCTATTATTACAAAGTTGGAGACTTAATAACTGTTGTGGTAGGATCCACCTAATTTGCATAGTGGAGTACCGACCATATAAATATGGTTGGTACCGGGAAGAGAGGGAGGAATCAAGAGATTCAACCAGAGACACTGCCCGACTGCGACTCAGTCAACACATTCTCCAGGAACGGTCTTACCAGGAATATACAAAAGACTATATGTAAATATTGTGTACACTTTCTTGTTTCAATACATTTTGTTCTAAGTACATTTTGTGTTGCATTATTATTCCATGCATTAGTCAAGTTTCAACAATAACAAAAGTGATAAAATATAACATAATAAAAAAAGGATCTAAACGAAATATTAGATCAAATATTCAAACACATATGAAACAAAAAAATAATAAATTTAAAAGTTTAGAATATGAACGTCCCCCTCTCATTCGGGCGCATATTTAGTTATATCCACGTAAGCATCAATTTAGTCGGTTTAAATTCTAAAGGACAAAATGCGTGGCACGATTTGTTTTCTAAATTGTGGAGAGCGGCAAATTTTTCGAACATTCAGGCCAGTGGACGAAAATAAATCAATCCGATTGTTTAAATAAAATACATGGAGTCTCTCCCCTAATATGAGTATCCACTAAAAATAATCTATGAAGCGAACAAAAATTGCCAGATTGATTTTTTTAAAAAAATCCACACTATTGACATTATTCGGACTATTTTCCTCATCTTTGTCGCCATATTTATTACGTTTCTCCACTACCTTAACCAGGTATTGAACTCACACTCTTTAATCCATTAAACATGGCACGTGTAACTAGAACAGTCAGCGAAATAAAAGGGTCAAGTCGACATTCCAAACACCTGAAGAAGGCCGGAGTGTACAACGGCCGAAACGCTGTAATAAATATAGCGTCAAAGTTGAGGACAATAGTCCGAATAATATAAATAGTGTATATGATACCACATCTCAGAAATGTAGACAAAAAAAAAACTATTCTAACATTATCTTTGCCTTAATTTTGGATACGAAAGTGTACAGACATTAAAACATTTTGAGAGATGTATGACAGGAGAAATAGCGCTTGAAGGCTAAAAATTAACCGACTGCTTTTCGCGGCTAAGATAGTTAAGGCAGGCCGGGCTTAACAGTAACTTTCTGTGCTCTTAGACATACAGGTTCAAATCCTGCTGGAGACCGCATTTTTTTCTATAATTAGATTACACGAAGATTCAGGCCGATAGACGAAAATAAATAAATTTACTGTTTAATAAAATTATGGAGCGCCCGCACAAACGTTTTAAGTCATAAAACTGGATAAGTATATACCGTAATTTCCCATGTATAATGCGCCTTCATGTATAATACGCAACCCTAAAATTGTGCTGAAAGTGTGGGAAAATGCTTCTACTCACGCATAATACGCACCCCTTGGTTGGTAATCAAACCCTGTGAATTGTAGCTCTCCAATTTTATAACGTCTAAAGTTTCCTACTCTTATTCTAAAAAAAATGATTGAGAATAATATTAATCTAATTTAGTTTTATGATAATTTTTATTTTATTTTACATTTACAAGTATTGGTAGGTACATATGATTGTATTTGACATCCTTAGGGGGTCGCAATCGCAAGTTGTTAGTGACAAATTGTCGTATGTTTGTGGTGAGTAGCCATTTTGCAACTGAAATCGACCTATGAAACGGCAATCTTTTTAAGATCTTTTGTAGCTGTGCATAATACGCAACGCTAATTTTCCTTATTGTTTTTATAAAAGAATGCCTATTATACATGGGGAATTAAGGTACATATCAGGAAGTTTCCGGGCTACCTTTTTGTAATTAATATACAGGAATTGATGCCTGCGATTATTTTCTGCTAGCTAGGGAATTCTCTTTGGGATCTCCATACCATTCGTACATGTGTCTCTGTCTACCTCTCCTCAATTCAGTAAGATATTTCTTTCTCTATTGTTCCCCCTCCTCTCAAGACTGTGGTGTACTCGATAGCATTTCCGATAATATAGACAAAGCCATCTCTCTATAACCGTTTACAAACATATTCGTGTTTGGTTACTTTAATGCCTACCATGCCTTAAACAATCTGTAAATGACCTTGCAAGTATCCAAAACCTTAACTTTTCAATCACTCAATCCCTCACACAAGTGGTTCTTTTTTCCCTAAGTGTTTCTCCAGTCACCCTGATCCTAACGCCTCCCTTCTCGATATCTGTTTAAACTCCGTCCCCGACTCTCGTCGCGCCATGCAGCTCTGCCCTCTTGGCAAATCTGATCACGCGGATGTGTCTGTTAATATCTTCTTCCACTCCACCTCCAGCCATGAACCTCCCACTAAGAGAATATCTTTCGGTTATCAACGCACAGACTGTTATTCATTCCGTGATTTCCTTCGTGACGTCCCTTGCAATATGGTTTATAATGATCCCGTTCAAAAATGTACGTCTGAAGACCACTCCTACGGAAAAACCGGCATCGAGTCTTTCAAGAAAAACCAAAGAAAAAATCGCGCTCATCTTCTTGTTTCTCACCTACTTGCTCAGCCGCTATAACCCATAGGAAGAACTTCTTCCGTCTCTTTGTCCCTGCTCATAATGAGTGCAAGCGTGCCCTCAGTGAAGCAAAGTTTCTGTTTGCTGATAGATTGAAACAACGTACTGCATCTCGCAAGGTCGATTCTAAAGCGTGTGCTGAACAATGCAAATCCCCAAATACCTCCTCTATTCAATCAATTCGAAGTCCTAACATCTACAGCTGACAAGGCTAAATACTTTGCTCGTAAATTCTCATCCATATCAACAATCGATTCATACGGAGTACCTACACCTGATCTTCCCCCGAGAACTGAGTCTCTGCTGGGTGAGTTGAGCATAACCCAGTCGATAGTATTGGACATCATGTTCAAATAAGACAAGTGGTAGTAACGGTATATCAGCCTTAGACCGAAAGAAATGTGTCCCTGAACTGGCTCTAGTTCTCTCCAAACTATAGACCTATTGCTTCGCTGATTCTTGCTTGTAAAGTCCCATTCTGTTGTCTTTAAAAAAATATGGAAACCTTTTTCTGACCTAATTAACTACTGTCCTATTACTCTTCGTCTAGGCTTTATTCAATGCCGAAGTGGTTATGCATCATTCCTCCCACGATCTACTATCTGACAAACAATACGGTTACCGCTTTGCCAGGCCTAGCTCTAAGGCTTACGGCCATAGCTGAATATGTCTACCAATATATCAAATATATCTAGAGATGTGGCTCTAGATATATCGAATGCGTTTGACAGGGTTTGGCATACTGGCTTTCTACGTAGGCTTCAGAGAAACGTTATTACAGAAAGATTATTTGATTTAATCCAATCATTCTTGTCAAACCGTGAAATGATCGTAGTCCTGAACGTGTTTTTGTCCAGTCCCTTTCATACGAACCCTGGTGTTCCCCAGGGCTTTATCCTTGATCCTACATTGTCTCTGCTCTTCATCAATGATCTTCCTGTCATATGAAAGCCTATACGAAAACGACATTATCATTTACACCTGTCTCGATAGTAAATCCGGTATTGCTGACAAAGTTAACCTGGCCGCTGGTCTCGAAATTTTGGTTTCCAAAATGTGGTTATCTTGTACAGGAAATGGCTTGTAAATTTTAATGCATGCAAAACAAAATTGCTCTTATTTACCCCCTATAGATAAACTTCCCTGCCACTTATCAGCATGGTTGATGCTCAATTTAACGAGAGGGTCTCACTGCGCATTCGTGGTCTCACGTTTTGTACTGGCCTGAGATGAAACAACTACACTGAATCAATAGCTGCATCTAATGCTAGGAAAGTTGGGTCTCTGTGTCGTCTGAAACTATCCTTCACATCTACAAATCTACCATTATTCTGTGCATGGAATACTGTTCTCCTATATGGTCTGGCGGCCATGTTGTTCATCTCCAGATTCTCGACGAAATCCCAAGACGGATATGTAATGTGATCGGTCCTGAATTGGCATCTCGACTTCAGACGTGCTGTGGCTTCCCTCTGTCTTTTCTACAAATATTTTCATGCCAACTCTTCTGACGTGCTATTTTCAGTGGTGCCCCGACGGCATGAATTTAAGCGTGCTACTAAATTGGCATCACGTTCCTATTATTTTACTGCCTAAACAGTTAAATGTAACCGCCTCTTCTACTCCCAGTGCTTCTTCACTCGCACTTCCCGACAGTGGAACATCTTTTCTTTTACTTGCATCCTTTATAACTGTAATCTTCAAAAAATTTAAATGTAATGTCATCTTTTTATACCTTCATCCCCGTTCTTCATTTTATCCGTTTTTTTTAAATCCTCTCTGTCTTACTTTCACTTTCTGTAACCACGAGTGGCACTCCCGCCTGGCTTGGGGTAAAGTGCTTAAAGAAAAAAAAATCAGTTGAGGTATGCGTCTTGCAGTCATTAGCTACAATGTTATCCAACGTCTATAGGCTTTAATTTCACTTGATTTTGTCAACCGACATAAGTCAGAACTGGTGTCTAATCAATGAATGCCGACTGCTTGTCCATAAAGAAACGGCTCTTGTGTTCCGTGTCTACTCTGGGCCCCAAATTCTACAGCGATTAACGAGAAGGCGGTTTATTTTACTCTAACGTTTCATTAGACGCGACGGACAGACTTGGCAGCAAGGATCCTATGAAGAAACGGGAGGAAAAACTTCAAGGCGAACTCATACCGCTCGTTGTCTTAGCGCCCCTCCGCGAGACGTCTTAGCCTGACCCTCGGATCTGTGTGGGGAAACGTATCGACGCTTCAAAATTCCTCCGGCACTGTTTTGAATTCGCACAGCTTTGGATATATATTCAAAACTTAGGGAAAAAAAAGGCAATCTGTCACTGTCAGAAAACCGCGCCCACGAGGTATCCCTGACCATCACAGCCCAGCTATCGCATTCTCTAACCTTACAATTACTATATATATATATATATATATATATATATATATATATATATATATATAGTGTATTATATACGTTTGTGTAAAAATATATATATTTTTTTATAATAGTAACATCTAATTTATAGGTGTATGTTTGCCCATATATTCTCATGTTCACAGTACGCACTATATTTTTCTAACGATAAGCATATACGTAAGAATATATTGAGTATACTAAATGCTTAGTGACTACTGGTTTTGTTTTTATTTTTGCTAGACGCTCAACATTTAAGCGTTTTATGTTTTAAGAATTCCTGTTATTTTCTTTCGCATCGCTGTCTCAGTTGAAGTTACAATCGATAAGATTCAACACACGTTCCTTTTTATAACTTTTGATTTATAAGTAAACAGATGAAGTCAAGCTGCAAAGTTGAAATGAAAATGATTTGGGAAGAAGAAGAAGAAGAAGAAGAAGAAGGTGAAGGAGAAAGTGAGGGAAGAATGATGAATAACATGGCAGCAAGAAAAAAATGAAGAACCCAGAGAAGAAGGTAAAAAAATAGGTCATGTCCGTCTAACTATAAGAAAAGGAATAGGATGAAGTAGGAATAAAATTGGCACACATAGAGAAGAAGAAGAAGAAGAAGAAGAAGAGGAAGAAGAAGAAGAAGCAAACAATAAGGGATATGGGGAAGAAGAACAACAAGAAAGGAGGAGGTATTAGCATAAGTGAAGAAGAAGAGGAAGAAGAAGAAGAACCAATGGGGTCTGTGGAGGAGAAGAAATATAACCAAGAAATATTAACGTACTTGAAGAAGAAGAAGAGTATGGAGAAAAAGAAAGACTACCACTAGAAGAAGAAGAAGAAGAAGAAGAACACCAACAATAAGGTACGTTGGGATGAAGAAGAACAAGGAAGAAAACACTGCCGTGCGTGGAAAAAGAAAGAGGAAGATGAGGAAGAAGAAGAAGAAAAGAAGAAGAAATGATGTGGGGAAGAAGATGATCAACAAAACCAAGAAAAGAAGGACCCATTAATATAGGTGAAGAAAAAAAAGACGGAAGAGGAGAAGAAGTAGATGATGAAGAAGAAACAGAAGATGAGAGATTTGGGGAAGAAGATGGACAACAAGAAAATACTAGAAAAAGAAGAAGAAGAAGAAGAAGAAGAAGAAGAAGAGTGTAAAGTGGAAAACTAAATCAAAACAAAAAAGTTGAAAAAAAAAAACGAAGGCAAGAAGTTTACGTTAGAATCAATGCAATAATAGCATGAAAACAGATAAAAAAATGGAAAGATAAACATGATAAAATGAAGAAAATAAAAAAAAATGTAAAGGTGTGCAAGAAAATTAATGAATTCAGAGGAAAAAAATTGGATGGTAAGAAAGAAAGGTAAATAAATAACCGTTGTAAGGAAGAAGAAATGAGGTAGAGAAAGAAAGAAAGTGAAACGAATGAAATGAAAGAATAAAAAATAAAGACAATAGCTCGGTAGTTGAAGAAAATAAAAAGGGAAACAAAATGGATGTAAAAAAAGACTAAAGAATAAACAAAATATAAGAAAAACTTAAAAGAAAAGGATAAAAAAAGGAAGAAAATAAGGAAGAAAAACATGTAGAAAAATGTTTAAATCCTAAAATGGAAGGAAATAAATTAAATATTAGGGGAAAATTGGAAAAAAAAAACAAGTAAGATGAAGAGCAGAAATAAAAGAATAGAATAAAATATCAGAATTTTAGCACCATGTGTATTGCGGCCGCAGTAGATGTGGTGTTGTTTCTTGGGCAAGATGACCTGACGGAGCCCAACACTCTCCAGGCCGGTTCTGAATTCAGAGTTTTTCCTTCTCCTAGTCTTTCCTCCTATTTACCCATAGCTGGGAGGGAGGGAAGGATACTAGCACGTAAGTGAATGTAGTGGATCAGACTGGAATTCGAACTCGGCTCTCCGATTCCTCACCCCTAGTCGCTATCAATTGTTCTACTGTACGGCTCCAAATCATTAGAATACAAATGGTTAAAACGGAAAACGGAAGAAAAATACTTGAAATAATAAGGAAAAAATTAGGAAAAAGAATAAAGAAGAAATAAACTAATAGAATGTATAATGAAATGACTAACAAAATGTAGAAAGTAACATGGTTAAAAATTTCAAAAATTGATGAAAAAGTGATGAAATATTAGGGAGAGAATTAGTAAAAAAATAATTAAAAGCTCAGAAAGCTCATGGAATAAAATGATAAATGTAAATATCGGAACAAATTGGTTAATAAATAAAAAATGGATAGTAAATATATGATAAAAATTAGGAAACTGAATGAAGGTGAAATAAATTGAAACAAATAAATAAACAATAAGGTAAGAGAATAATAAGAGGGAAAAAATGTAGGCAAGTTAAAAATTGAAGAAGAAAAAGATTATAATGATTAAGGAATGGATTAGGAAAAAAAGATAAAGGTGAAAGAATCTGTAAAGAAGGAATAGAACAACAAATTAAAAAAATGAAGAAAAATGGTTAAAACTGTAACAATGGATATAAAAGTGACGAAAGAATAAGGAAAGAATTAAATCATAAATAAATTTTTGAAAAAATAATAGAAATAATAAAAACTGGAATAAAAGAAATAAAAGAAAAACGATTAAAAGAATAAACGAAATCAAATAAAACAAGAGATGTACATGAGGGAAAATAAATATAAGAAATACGACGAAAAGAAGGGGTGAATTTAAAAACTGAAATGAGGGATAGGAAAAAACGTAAGAAAAGTAAAAAGAAAAAAAAAGAAAATAAATATCAGAAATGAAATAAAACAAAAGAAGTACATGAGGCAAAACAAAAATTGAAAACGAAATAGAAAAATTAAGAAATATAAGAAATACAAAAGAAAAAGAACGGGTGAATTTAAAAACTGAAATGAGGGAAAGAAACAACGAAAGAAACGTAAAAAGGACAACAAAGAAAATAAATATAAGAAATACGACGAAAAGAAGGGATGAATTAAAAAACTGAAATGAGGGAAAAAACATGAAAGAAAATTAAAAAGAAAACAAAGAAATTAAATTAAAATTAAAAAGAAACGATCTAGAAAAGGTTAAAAATTGTAAAACAGGCAAAATATAAAAGTAAAAAGAAAAAAAATCGAAAGAAATAATTAATAATTTCCAGAAAATGAATACAAAGAAAAAAAATTAAAGTGTCAAGCAAAATAATAAGAGAAAGTAAGGAACAATAGTTTAAAAAAAGAAAAGTTCTAAAATAAAAATCAAACAAAAAAGACAAGTGTTATGAATAATGAAGAGTGGTCTCCCTTTGTTTTGTTACTCTCCTCTTTGAGAGAGCTAATTCTGTTTGCTGGGATTATAAAAGGACACAATATTCTCAGTTGAATAGAGCTTTCTTAAAGTCTACAACTGTGTACTTTATTCATTCCAACAACAATAATGAAAATATACGATGAAAAAAAGAGAGAACAAATGAAAGTAATTACAAATATAACCGACTGAATTAAAACTGAATGAAATATATCATCTGCTGTGTCCTTTTCGGACAAAAGCGAACCTAGATCTCCAAAATCCCTGTCTTTGGTAATTCCGGTTAAATTTTGTCTTTTTGTTATATCTCCGAAAAATTTTTCCGTCATCTCAAGCTCATGTAACGCGGTGTTTTCTTCATTTCGCTCTGTCTTCAATCTGCCCTGTGAGTATCAGATTTTCCAAGACTAGTTTTCTCATTATGTGACCTAGAAATTTAAACTGTCTCTTCGTGATGTTAAGTATAAGTTTCCTGTTGAATTCCATTTTCTTTAAAACTGCGTCGTTGCTCACTTGTTCGACGCATGTGATCCTCAGCATCCTTCTGTATAACGACGTTGCTGTTGCTCTAAGTCTCAACTTCATCTGAGAGTAGATGGTCCAACAATCACTCCCATATATAAGTGGACTGATATTACATAACAGCTTAATACTCTTTTCATTGTTTCTTTCAAAATTTGTCGGTTTCTTCATACTCAGTTCATTGTTTGGAATGAATCTTTGGCTATCCCAATACGCATTCTGGGTTCAGAGTTACACTTCCGCCTTCTGTTAAAACACTTCCCAGATATTTAAATTGTTCTAATTCTTTTTATTTTAGTACCTCCAGTTTCTAATTTGCCTGTTGGGTTATTCTTTTTGCTAACGACCATTCATTCCATCTTCTTGCTATTGAGGTTTCATCCTTTCCTCTGGCTTTTATTCAGTACCGTCAGTAGGATTTCTGTAGTTTACTTTCCCTATCTGCTATCAATACTCTGTCATCTGCATATCTTATGTTGCTAAGGTTGGAGCCGCCAAAAATGAATCCTTGTAGGCCTCCTATTCTTTCAGGATCGCCTCACTCTATAGATTGAATAAGTCCGTTGAGAAGACACATTCTTGTCTTACACCCGTTTTTATTTTTGTATATCTACTGATCTCATCTTTTAAACAACGGGCGAACGGAGGAAAGAGGAATGAATTAAAAAAATATAACTTATGAATAAATAAATTGCATAAAGAAATATAAAAAAAAAAAAAAAAAAAAAAACTCAAGAATGGAATAAGCAATGAAGGAAGAAATAAAGCAGATATATTTAAAAAAACAAAAAAAAAACAAAATAAAAACAAAAAAAAAAGTAAAAAAAAAAGTATAACGTCATTGAAAAGACATTGAAAATCTAAATATCACTTCTCTTCCCTGAGAAAGACGAGGCCCGGATGATGGAAATGAACTCCAAATCGGGAATTAAAAATAAATACCACAAAAAATAAAAATAAAAATATCAAGCGATTTTTTTTAATCTTCTTTCCTACATAACTATTTTTGATCGGATTTGTTTTTAGCAATTTATCGTTTCTATTCATACAACAACAACCTTTCAACCCTTCGTGACAATGAAGACTTGGTGGAAAATTGTGAATAATACATTCTTACGCAGAGGTTATCTGTAAAGCGAAACTTAATCTCTTATTCCAAAACTTAATAAAAGAGATATGCGTTTCGATTTATTCAATAATATCTCTCTGATTAAGGTTTCCAATTTTTTTAAGATATTGAAGAATTCTTCCTCCTCCTCCCCACTATTCTTCTTCTTATTATTATTATTATTATTATTATTATTATTATTATTATTATTTTTGATTTCTGGTGTTTACACATTTCTTTCCGGGTCCCGCCCAGGGACCTAAAGTTAGAAATGGCGTCATAACACTTTCCACTGACAAAAAAAAAAAAAAAAAATGACATAGATAAAGCCCTTCGTAAAGTGTGGGCTGTACTTATCAGAACAAATTTTTGTATTTCTTTGAGGCATGGACTTCCAGGAATCTCTTCAATTAATCTACTGCAATATTTTCAAACCAGTCTTAGGGCTCCAACTACAACAGGGATTGTTGATGTTCACATATACCACATTTTCGAGATTTCTATTTCAAGGTCCTTGTATTTTGACAACTTTTTGAATATCTTCAAAGATACATTGCAGTCAGCAGAGACTGCCATATAGATAAGGAGGCACCGTTTTTGTTTGTGGTATTTAATAACAATATCTGGCCGGTTGGCCTTGATTGTTCTATCAGTGTGTATTGTGTAGTCCCATAGAATTGTAACAGGTCCTATCTCCGTAACCGGGTCTGGGTGGTGTTCATACCAGTTATCATTATTATTATTATTATTATCATTATTATTTATAAATGTCAATAGGAAAACTGTAGTAGTTGCCGACGCGTTTCGTCCAATGTGGACTTTCTAAAAGCAAAAAACGAAATAAATTTATTTAAAGTAACTAATAATAACAAAAACAAAATGTCCTTAGCAACTGGAAGAATTTAGAGAACGCTATTTTCATACTGTTAACTGAAATTACGTCAATTACTGTCATGTGTGGAGATTATTGCCGTGTTGACAGATTCAACCATTTTCTTTTGATTTTTGTTATATTGTTGTGTACGTTTGTTTGCGAGAGCAGTAATTTTGTTAAGAAAGGTGAATTAGGGAAAAAGCCTGGGTGTCGATTAATATTTCGGTAATATTCAATGGCGGCACTCTCTAGAATCTTCCTTCTGAGTGAGTTATTTTCTTTTTTATGAGTGTAGCATTTTTAAAATGAAAATTGTGTTTGAATTTATTTCTATCTATGCTAAGGACATTTTGTTTTTGTTATTATTAGTTATTTTGTTTAAATAAATTCATTTCGTTTATTTTGCTTTGAGAAAGTCCACATTGGACTAAACGCGTCAGCAATAACTACAGTTTTCCTATTGTCATTTATATTTATAAATATTGTCTTTTCTACAGATTCAACTCTGAGAAATTTTCATTATTATTATTATTATTATTATTATTATTATTATTATAACCTTTCTTCTTTTTTTCATCTTCTGTCGTTTTTAGATCTTAATAAAATTTGTCGTCTTCCTATCTCACTGAATCACTGTTCCTTGAACGATTTACACAGGCTAGTTAGGTTATGCGTTACTTTCCTCTGTCTTTTCTGCATTCGATATGACCTGTGAGTATCACATTTTTCAAGCCCTCTTTCCACATTCTGTACTCTAGAAAATTCAATGGTCTCTTTCTGATTCTATGTATATGTCTTTTTTGTTTACACCTCCTCTAAAACTTAATTATTGCTTACATGTTCGGACGATGATATACTCAGCATCCTTCTGTAGAACAAGATCTGTGCTGCCTCAAATCTCTTCTTCATCTATGAATAGATTATCCACCATTTACTGCCACATAGGGGAACTGATATTACGTAACATTTCGGTACCCTGATCTTTGTTGTAAAGTAATTTTCACTTTCTTAATACTTTGCATAGCTTTTGGAATTAAAATTTCCTCAGACCTCTCCAAATTTTATGTGATAAAAAGTACATTTAAATGTAAAAAAAAAACAAAGAAACAAAAAAAAAACGGAGAGGCTTAAAGGGAGATAACCGTGGATTCGAAGTCAGAACATTATCATTGATAACTCTCTCCTCCAATTTGCAGAGCCTAGATACTATATTCTTAATACTTGATATAATGCAAACATATGACTATGTTAATGTCGATCAATAATTACTTATAACTATTTATATTACGACACGTGCATGCAATTGCAAGTAATCCATAATAAAATTTTAAATTTTGAAATCACTTGTAAATTTGGCATATGAATTTTAAAAAAAAGTTTTCTGAATATTTGATTCTCTTTCAATCATTCCGCCTCACCTGTTATCCTCCTCCGCCACACCTTTAAAGCCCGCCGCACCGTGAAGCTTGCTTCGCCGTTTGGAGACCACTGATCTAAAGAAAACATCAACATATTTATTTATCATACAAAATTTATTAATAATAGTAAAATTCGTTTGGATTTTCTTTTAATTCTCGGATAAGAGTAATTAACAAATGGTATCAATATTATGGTAGTCTTGATAGGGTAGAAATTGAAATACACTGGGAAGTGTTCAAATATATTAGGTTCTACTATAAAGACAAACTAGCTGAATTGCCTGCGTCTTGTTGCGTGTCAAGCAATTTTTTGATAAGAAAATGATGACTGATTTTAAATGATAATTATAAGCATTTCATTATTACTCAATGATCTTGCCGATGTGACCTGGCTTTTTCTTTCTATATTTTTGATAGAAGTCATTCACATGTTCAAATTTAAATTTAATTTAAATCAAAGGGAAACATTATTTAGTGCGAGATTTATGCAAAAGCAGCTTGATCAGATTCTTTCGATATGTATTTGTATGACTTGAGCAGATTTCAACACTGATATGACAGTTGAATTTTCGAAAATTATATATAGCAAGGTGATTCCTTGCTCAACATGACATCCATCTTGTCACATTTTGATTTTGCCGGCGTGAACTCCGTTTTCTGGCTTCCTCTTTCTATATTTTAGATAGGATTAATTCCCTTTTTTAAATTTAATTTAAATCAAAGGGTAAAAAATTATTAGTGAGGTGTTATGACCCCACCGGATCCCCTTTGATCAAAATGAAATATACTTATC